TCGACAAATGGAAAGGAGAAAACCGTTATCTCCGCCAAACTGCGTAGAAGCCACCATGCATCCCCCGACTTTCTAAGTTTATGTTTTATTCCTGTGATAACGATTGCGACAGAGCGGCGGCGACGCGCGTGCGCATTATCGGCGAGAAAACTTATCAGTCGTTACCTCTCTGTCGAAGCCACACTCTTTTCTTCGTATCACAAGAGATAAGGATTCACTCCCTCTGATAAAAAAACAAGCAAGCAAAAAATAGAAAAAAAAAAACGAAGTACCAAAATCAATCGCAAAATTGCACAGATCCACAGCCCTGAAGCGGTACAAACTGCAACAATAACCACGAGAGACCCGGTAATCTTAAAGGTCATTAGCATCGCCACCGAAGTACCCGAGAGAGTTCTGATGCCTCCTCCTTTCATAAATCTTATTGGTCTTTAACTATGTTTGCACAGCCAGGGCGGGAAAGTGATTACAGGACGAGGTTGAGGAGAGGAATTCCAAATTACAGTTTTGATCTGAAGGAGGCAGGATCAGAGAGGGAGGCTGTACTTTATATTTTTATATACCGTGAGTGTGAGTGTGTATTAGAGTGTGGGTGTGCGTGTGGGAGAGTGTGGGAGAATGTGAGAGTAAGAGTAAGAGTAAAAGAGAGAGAGAGAGAGAGAGAGAGAGAGAGAGAGAGAGAGAGAGAGAGAGAGAGAGAGAGAGAGAGAGAGAGAGAGAGAGAGAGAGAGAGAGAGAGAGAGAGAGAGAATAAGAGAGTGTGTGTGTGAGAGTGTGCGTGCGTGCGTGTGCGTTCGTATGTGTACGTGTGTGTTTCTGAGTGTTTGTGAGGGTGAGTAGATCAAATTAAACAAGATTTTTAAAAAGTACAAGTACCAGACTCCATCTGACAATACTAACAAAGCACAGGTTTTTACAGATAGAGAATTCCATTTGTAAAAACGATTACCTAACAAATATACGAGTAATGCAAGCGAAGGTCGGCTGAGAGGTGAGACTAAACGTACAAATACTTCAGGAAGCATTGAGGAGGAGAAGGAGGAAGAGGAGAAGGAGGAAGAGGAGAAGGAGGAAGAGGAGAAGGAGGAAGAGAAGGAGGAGGAAGAGGAGAAAGAGGAGGAAGAAGAGAAAGAGGAGGAAGAAGAGAAAGAGGAGGAAGAAGAGAAAGAGGAGGAAGAAGAGAAAGAGGAGGAAGAAGAGAAAGAGGAGGAAGAAGAGAAAGAGGAGGAAGAGGAGAAGGAGGAGGAAAGGGAGGAAGAGGAGAAGGAGGAGGAAAGAGAAGAAGAGGAGGATAGGGAGGAAGAGAAGGAAGAAAGGGAGGAAGAAAAGGAAAGGGAGGAAGAAAGGAAAGGGAGGAAGAGAAGGAAAGGAGGGAAGAGAAAGAAAGGAGGGAAGAGAAAGAAAGGAAGGAAGAGAAGGAAAGGAGGGAAGAGAAGGAAAGGAGGGAAGAGAAAGAAAGGAGGGAAGAGAAGGAAAGGAGGGAAGAGAAGGAAAGGAGGGAAGAGAAGGAAAGGAGGGAAGAGAAGGAAAGGAGGGAAGAGAAGGAAAGGAGGGAAGAGAAGGAAAGGAGGGAAGAGAAGGAAAGGAGGGAAGAGAAGGAAAGGAGGGAAGAGAAGGAAAGGGAGGAAGAGGAGGAGGAAAGGGGGAAGAGAAGAAAAGGGAGGAAGAAGGGGAAGAGGAGGAAAGGGAGGAAAAGGAGGAAAGGGAGGAAAAGAAGGACGAGGAGGAAAGGGAGAAAGAGGAGGAAAGGGAGAAAGAGGAGGAAAGGGAGGAAGAGGAGGAAAGGGAGGAGGAGGAGGAAAAGGAGAAGGAGAAAGAGGAGGGAAAGGAGCAGGAAGAGAGGAAGATGAGGAGGAGAAAAGAAGATGAGGAGGAGAAAAGAAGATAAGGAGGAGAGGAGGAGAAAAGAAGATAAGGAGGAGAGGAAGAGAAAAGAAAAGGAGGAGTGGAAGGGGAGGACAAGATGAGTAGGAGTGGAAGAGGAGGAGGAGAGGAAGTGGAAGAGGATAGGAAGCAGAGGAAGACAGGAAGCAGAGGAGGAAAGGAAGAGAAGGAGGAAAGGATGAGAAGAAGGAGAGGAAGAGAAGGAGGAAAGGATGAGAAGAAGGAAAGGGAGAGAAGGAAGAAAGGAAGAGAATGAAGAAAGGAAGAGAAGGAAGAAAGGAAGAGAAGGAAGAAAGGAAGAGGAGGAGCAGAAAGCAGTGGAAGAGAAGTAATGCCCATAAATTTACTATTAATGAAAATTATTTTCCAAAGGCAGAAAAGGAAGAAGAGAAAAAAGAGGAATAAGAAGTGGAAGAAAAGAAGAACAGAAGTAGGAGAGATGCAGAGCGAGGCTGAAATGAGGGTATGAATAAGCAGGAGGAAGAGGAAGAAAATGAGGGGAAAAAATCACTGTAAAAGAGGAATAAAATGAGGGGAAAAAATCACTGTAAAAGAGGAATAAAAACAAATAGATTACAAGAATAACATGCAGAAAAGAGCAACAGCAATTAGAAAGAAATTGAAGAGTTTTGAAGATAAAAAAAATAATAATAATAATGAAAAAAGGGGAATCATACATTTCAATAAAAGTAATTTAAATAGAATAAACAAAGGCAATCTCAATAAAGGAAAATACAACAAAAACAACAAAATAATCAGATGAGAGAGGAGTTCAGAGAAAAAGTGTGAAGACAAAAATACCCAACCTATCTATTATCTAAAGTTAAGAACCTTGAAAAACGTAAATAAAAATATAAATAAACACCTACCAGCATTCTCAAAACTAACATCTTTTCCATCTAAAAGTTTTCAGGAGGCCATAACTTTTCATTTTTGGCGGCATAGAGAACTCACAAGTTTTTGTTCCTGGCATAGGCCAATCCTCTTTACCTTAACTAAGTTAAAAAAATAAATGCATGGAAGCAATCTGTATTCTTTGTGGTCCCATTTCCTTGAGATAAATGTATTGTTTAAATATATTTCTAATAAAATTCAAATAGGAAAGAAATATTTGTGGGTGAATGAGAGTGCCAATAACTATACACAAAAGATGAAATGGATTGTCCATATCCACCCCCCCCCACACACACACACATACATAAGCAGACATATATT